GGTGAATCAGTGGATGTGGTCTATTTGGACTTCCAGAAGGCATTCGATAAGGTGCCGCATAAAAGGTTAGTCCAAAAGATAAGGGCCCATGGAATTGGGGGGAGCATATTAACATGGATTGGGGAATGGTTAACAGGAAACAACGAGTAGGGATAAACGGGTCCTTTTCAGATTGGTGGGATGTGACTAGTGGAGTGCCACAAGGATCAGTCCTTGGGCCTCAGCTATTTACCATCGACATCAACAATCTTGATGACATTGAAGTTAATATATCTAAATTCGCGGATGACACAAAACTAGGAGGAGGTGTCAACACAGAGGACGACATTAAAAAAATGCAGCGCGACATAGATAGGTGATTGGGCAGATAGGTGGGACATGAAGTATAATGTAGGGAAGTGCGAAGTCATCCAACTCGGGAGCAAAAACAGTAGAGCGGGTTATTTTTTAGAAGGGGAGAGATTGGAATGTGTTAGTGTCCAGAGGGACTTGGGTGTCCTTGTACACCAATCACAGAAAGTTAGTCTGCAGGTGCAGCAGCAATTAGGAAGGCGAACGGTATGTTAGCATTCATTATGAAAGGATTAGAGTATAAGAGTCGGGAAGTCTTGCTGCAACTGTACAGTGCCCTGTGAGACCACACCTGGAATACTGTGTGCAGTTTTGGTCTCCTTATTTAAGGAAGGATGTACTTGCCTTGGAGGGGGTGCAGCGTAGATTTACTCGGTTAGTACCCGGGATGGAGGGGATGAGTTACGAGGAGAGGCTGAACAATTTGGGCCCATATTCTCTAGAATATAAAAGAATTAGAGGGGATCTTATAGAAACCTATAAGATCAAAGGGCAATGATAGAGTAGATAGTGGGAGATTGTTTCCCCGGTTGGAGAAACTAAAACCAGGGGTCACAACATTAAAATCAGTGAACAGCCCTTTCACACTGAGTTGAGGAAGAACTTCTTCACTCAAAGGGCAGTGAATGTATGGAACTCGTTACCCCAAATGGCTGTTGACGCTCAGTCCTTGAACATATTCCTTTGTGGAGTCCTGTAGCTCAGTGGTTAGAGCACTCGCTTTGCAAGTGAGAGACCTGAGTTCAATTCCAGGCAGAGGGCGAAACCTTGGGCAAGTTTCCTTACTCCACACAGAGCCTAATAATAATCCCTCCAAAACTAAAAACAATAATAAATTGGTCATTTTCAATCCACGACTGTTTGTGGGACATTGCTGTGCGCAATTGGCTGCCGCGTTCACCCACAAATATACAATCAATTCACGTTACAGTGTGTTCTGTGAAGCGCTTTGGGACGTCCTCCCGACGTGAAAAGCGCTATATCAAATGCAAGGATTATATTCAAGACTGAGATCGATAGATTTCTTATTGCAAAAGGGATTAAGGGATACGGGGATAAGGCAGCGTCAGGTTATTAGCTGGAGTTAGATTAGAAGATCAGCCATGATTGAATGGCGGGGCAGAGGCTCGAAGGGCCGAATGACCAACTCCTGCTCCTACATGTTACGTTATGTTATGAGTTACCAGCTGTGGCTCCTTTGACTCTCTGGGCAAAATTGCTACAGACAATGTTTTGTGAGGACACAAGGCAACCAGAGAGGAAAAGGCTTGGTCAACCCTGGCTTTCCAGCTAGTTCATTAGCATTTATTTCAAATGGATTCATGTAGACGACGAGTTGTCTAATTGAAGTTAAAGGGTGACGTTAAACCAGGCTTCATCAGGTGAGGAGAGGTGTCAATAATTCCACAAGCTGCAGATCAACTAGAACTCTGCTGCTCGTGTTCTCTTCTGCACAAGGCTCAGTGACCTCATCATCCTCTTCCGGCTCCACTGGCTCCCCATCCCTCAGAGGATAGAATTCAAAATCCTTGTCCTCAGTTTCAAGACACTCCACAGCCTTGCCCCCTCCTACACCTCTGACTTGTTGACCGCTATCAAACTGTCTGCTCCCTCTGCTCAGCAGGCTCCGACCTGCTCCAGGTCCCCGCCCGACCTGCCCTAGCATCGGTGGCCGGGCTTTCAGTCTCTCTGTCCTCACTCTTTGGAATTCAATCCCACAATCCCTTCACTTTGCTCCCTCTCTTGCCTCCTTCAAGGCACAACTCAAGACCTTCCTTTTTGACCGTGCCTGGTTGGCCTCCAGTATGATGTTTGAGTAGTGCGCAGTTTTATGTGCGACTGGGAGCGGCGGTGAAGACCCTCGAGCCACAGCTGGTGGTGAACCGTGAGGCTGGTTTTCTGCCACCTGCACTCGAGCAACCGGGTTTGGGATTTCAGGGAGCAGAGATGGCTGTTGTATCAGGGGGAGCGGGTGGGTTTGGAAACAGTCCTGGATTTTACGGGGACGAGGGAGTTGAAGCTGGAGGAGAGGCGATCATGGTGCAGCTGGACAGCTGCTTCAGGATCGCTGCAGATGGATGGCCAGAGGGAGAGGAGGTCTGAGGGTGAAAGGGCCTTTGTGAGGGTCTCGGGGGAAAGCCTTTTCCCTGGGCGGAAAAGTATGGTTGAGGGTTTGATGGAGGGGAGAGGGATGCAAGAGGAGAAGGAGATGAGGAAGAGGTCCGAGATGCCTTGTCCATGCATGATGCACAGGTCGGAAATGTCAAGGCCATGTGTGATGACGAAGTCGAGGGAATGGCCACGGTTGTGGGTCGGCGAGTTGATGTGGAGGTTGAGGTTTAGGGAGGAGAGGGCAGTGAAATCTGAGGATGAGGTGCAAGGGGAGTTTAGGTAGAGGTTGAAGTGGCCCATTATGAGCAGGCGTTCTGAACAGAGAAACAGAGAGAGGATAGCGGAGATATCAGAGAGGAAGGAGCTATGGGGTTTTGGGGGGTGGTAAACTAGGAGAATTTCAAGTGAAAGGAGGGATGGTAGAGGGTGAGGTGCTCAAATGAGAAGCAGCCAGAGGAATAAGGGGATAGACCGAGGGAAGCTTGGGAGATGAGGGCCACCCCGCCTGCCGCCATGTTGGTTAGTGTGGGGGTGTGGTAGAAGGTGTAGCCAGGAGGGGAGGCTTCATCTAGGTTGCGGAATCACTGGGCGGGGGAGCTAGGTTTCCGTAAACCCCAAGATTATCCATGTGCTGATCCAGGATGAGGTCATGGATAGTGAGGCTTTATTGGAGGGAGCAGACATTTTGTAGGGCAATGCGGATGGATTTGTTGATGCGGGGAATGGAGGAGACAAACGAGGAGAAACCAGGGGGGTGATAGTAGGCTTGGTTGAAGTGGAAAGTTTTCAGTCTAGAGAATGAGCTCAAAGTCCTTACGTAAAACCAAAAAACCAGAAGTGAGACCGTCACTAACCGAACCACTGAATGTCGCCTACTCTTTGTGACTCTTTTGTGGCGTAAAAATTAGGTCATGTTCAATGTCATCCCCAAATCTCAGTTTCCAATGGTGGTTTTTAACTGGTGGTAAACCAGTTGCATTCTCTCTCTTGCCAAAACCATATGTTATTGTTGTTATTATGGGGCGAATACTCACTGGGTTTCGGTTCCAAAAGCGCCTGATTCTCGACCAACGTTCATCGCTAACCATCACCCGCTCCCCTTCCCAGGGAAAGGCAAAGCATCCTCTAGCAAACCAACACTGCACACCCTAACCACAAGTTTGCAATAAAACAACAAGAATTTGCACAATCAACAAAACTTCCGAGGCATTAACCGCACTTCAGAAATAAAGTGCATTTGTAACCAAAGGGTGGATAGTGGCTGAGCTGCAACCAGCGGGCTTGTGTTTTGGTGGCGCCTTGGGACATCCTCCCGCTGTGAAAATCCTGTAGCTCAGTGGTTAGAGCACTCGCCTCTCAAGTGAGAGAACATGGGTTAGATTCCCAGGCAGGGCGAGACCTTAGGCAAGTTTTCTTACTCCACACGCCTGTTTCCCAGCAGTAAGTAGGAACCCGGATGTTAGTTGGTTGGCAGATCGCTTTTCCGTGGGTGATAAGTCTCTTTCATTTTTAAAAAAAATAATAGTAATAATTTGGTCACTAAATCTACGACTGTTTGTGAGACGCTGCTGTGCCCAATTGGCTGTCGCATTTCGCCCACAAAATAGTCTATTCACTTTACAGTATATTCTGTGAAGCGCTTAGAGATGTGATGAGGCGCTGTATTAAATGCACGGATTATTATGATTACTGAAAGGCGCCATGTCAGTGCAATTTGTGGTTGTCGTTGTTGTTTCGATGTGTGGTATTTCCCGTCTTTAACGTGTCACGTGTCCCCAGCTCGGGTGCAAACCCTTCACTGTCCGCCCCTCGCGGTGTCCTTCCAACATGAAAGGCGCTGTGAATTGCAGTTGTTGTGGTGTCAGTGTGGTGTCCGGTGTCCACCGTCTGTGCCGGGCACTGGGTCAGATAAACAAAAACACCGAGCCTTCCCCTCCGCCCCAATGGGACTGTCTCCTCCTGATCCCACCCCAATGGGATGTCCCCTCCCGCCCCAATGGGAATGTCCCCTCCCGCCCCAATGGGAATGTCCCCTCCTGCCCCAATGGGATGTCCCCTCCCGCCCCAATGGGACTGTCCCCTCCCGCCCCAATGGGAATGTCCCCTCCTGCCCCAATGGGATGTCCCCTCCCGCCCCAATGGGACTGTCCCCTCCCGACCCAATGGGATATCCCCTCCCGCCCCAATGGGATGTCCCCTCCCGCCCCAATGGGAATGTCCCCTCCCGACCCAATGGGATATCCCCTCCCGCCCCAATGGGATGTCCCCTCCCGCCCCAATGGGACTGTCCCTCCCGACCCAATGGGATATCTCCTCCCGGCCCAATGGGAATGTCCCCTTCCGACCCAATGGGATATCCCTCCCGGCCCAATGGGACTGTCCCTCTGCCCAATGGGATGTCCCCTCCCGCCCCAATGGGACTGTCCCCTCCCGCCCCAATGGGATATCCCCTCCCGCCCCAATGGGAATGTCTCCTCCTGATGCAGTAGATCCACATTGCTTCTGCTCTGGTGCATTGTGGGATACAGGAGGACCAGTCCGGAGCGCGGCGCTGCTGGTGCATGGTGGGATTGCGGAGGACCCCGCGGTGCATGGTGGGATTGCGGAGGACCCCGGGCGTTGCTGATGCCGAGCGGTTGTCCGCCGGAGCGGTGGTCGCCGTGAGAGATGCCCAACGCCTGCGCGGCCCCGAGCTGCAGGAGGAGGAGCACCCGGTGCCGGGGCCTGGCCTTCTACCGGTTCCCCAGGGACCCCGCGCGGTGCCGGCAGTGGGTGGACAACTGCCAGCGGCCGGACCTGAGAGCCAAGTCACCGGAGCAGCTGCACCACCAGCACAGGCTGTGCGCCCTGCACTTCACCAGGGACCTGCTGCAGTGCCCCAGGAGATCGCTGCTCCGGCCTGACGCCGTGCCCACCCTGTTCGACCTCCCCCCGAGCCCCCCCAAGAAGCCGGACAGCAGCCACAGGAAGCACAAGCGGAGGTGGCTGAGCGAGGCGCAGCTGCGGGAGGTCATGGCGCTCAGAGCCACCTCCGCGTCCCAGCCCGGCAGAGCGCCTCCCGGCCCCGCCAGCCCGGGCGGCCGAGGCGGCTCCGAGGGGCTTCCGCTCTCCGCCGCGGCCGCCGCCGCCTCCGCCCGGCCGGCCCGGGACCCGCCGAAAGACGAGCGACCGGGGAGCGGCGGCGCCGCCGCGCCCGAGGACGCCGGGTCACCGGGCACCGCCTCGGGCTTCATGTTCCAGGGCTTCTGGATCAAGATTTCCCAAAGGAAAGGCACCTCCTGAAAGCCGCGGCACGGAGGCTCGAGCGAGGCCGTCACCGGGACGTTCTGGAAACGAGTTTAGGGACAAGGGGGAAGTCAGGCGGCCGGTCAGTCGGTCAGTCAGCCGGCCGGCCGACCTCCCTCAGGTTGTTCTGTCGCGTGGCGTCCCGCAGCGCGCTCAGAGCACTCGCCTCGCCAGCGAGAGGACCCAGTTTGGATTCCCGGGCGCGGCGACGTGTTGTCCCAAGTTTCCCTTCTCCACGCGGCGCCGTTTGCCCGTTAGCCGATCGGCGGATCGCTTTTCCCGGGGGCGAATATTCACTGCGAAAGAAATGAATAAATAAATGTTCCAAAAAAAAAAGAGAAAAGTGGTCGCTTCATTCACGACGGTTTGTGGGACAGCCCTGCAATTGTGCGATTGGCTGCCGCGTTTCATCCACAAAATGTACAGTTGCTCTCGCAGTCTTTTGCGGTGAGGCACTTCACGTCTCACAACCCTCTGTAAAACTATTTAGAACAAATTGTGGACCAGATGAAGCACGATTTCAAGATTGATTTGGATCGCTTTACCATAGTTACGTGATGATCAGATAACCAGAACTTTGCTGATAATACGGTAGAAAACAGCTAACAGAAACGGAGCGTAATAAAGATAGAGAAATAATCCACAGCGTTCTAACCGAGCTTGTGGGGTATTCGTTTGCACTCATCCCCGCTCAGGTCCAGAAGTCAAACAGTCAAAACAACAACAACTTGCATTTACACAGCGCCTTTCACGTCGGGAGGACGTCCCAAGATGCTGGACAGTCAGGGGTTTGGACCCGAGCTGGAGGTTGGGATCAGGGAGGGTAGGGGGTTGACCAAAGCTGTAGTTTCAAAGGAGGGTCTTGAGACGGCCTTTGAAGGAGGCAAGGGAGGGAGCGAGGTGGGTGGACTCTGGGATGGAGTTCCAAAAGGTGGGGGTAGAGAGGCTGAAGGCTCTGCCGCTGATGGTGGGGTGGGCCGGGCCGAGGAGGTGAAGCAGGTTGGTATGAAGTTAGCAAGTCACAGAGGCAGGAAGGAGCGAGGGGCATAGCGGTGGGTGGGGTCCACAGAATGGGCCTAATTCTGCAACTAAAGTGGAAAGGGGGGAGTTTTAATGCCTCTGCCAAGCGCAGTAATCCCACGTGGCTTGTACGTTCTTAAAGTGGAAGTCAGCACGCGTTTTGGTATCACAACAACAACAACAAGATTCCATTTATAAAGCGCCTTTCACGTCAGGAGGACGTCCCAAGGCGCTCACCTTCTGAGATGCTGATGCTTTTCCCACAGAATTTACCACTTCAGTTTAAATGGATCCGAGCCAATGAGGTCACATATTATCCGTGCAGTCCTGTAGCTCAGTGGTTAGAGCGCTTGACTGGCAAGCGAGAGGACCCGGGTTTGATTCCCGGGCAGGGCAATACCTTAGGCAAGTTTCCTTACTCCACACACCTCTCTGTTTACCAGCAGTGAGTAGGAACCTGGTTGTTAGTCGACTGGAGGATCGCTTCTCCAGGGGTAATAATCCCTTCAAAAAACATAATAATAAGAATTTGGTCATTCAATCTATGACTGTTAGTGGGACACTGCTGTGCGCAATTGGTTACCATTTTGTCTCCTCACACTTGTTTTCAAATCACTTCATTCCCTTGAGCCTCCTTATCTCTCCCATCTGCTTACCCCCACTCCTTGACAGCTTTCTTCACGGTTTTGGCCACCTTTAAGGAATTATGTATGTTAACCCACAATTCCCTTTGCTCTACTCTTTTTGACCTATCGGCAGCATTCGATACGGTCGACCACGCTATCCTCCTCCACCGCTTGTCCTCCCACCTCAACCTTCAAGGCCCTGTCCTTGAGTGGTTTAGGTCGTACCTCTCCCACCGTCTTCACTTTAATAATAATAATAATAATAATCCTTGCATTTGATATAGCGCTTTTCACGTCGGGAGGACGTCCCAAAGCGCTTCACAGAACACACTGTAAAGTGAATTGACTGTATATTTGTGGGCGAACGCGGCAGCCAATTGCGCACAGCAATGTCCCACAAACAGTCGTAGATTGAAAATGACCAATTTATTATTGTTTTTGGTTATGGAGGGATTATTATACTAGCAATGGCAGAAATACAGCCCATCATCTGGCTAGATGGAAACACAGGGACCATACCCAAAGGGTTAATCAGTGATACATCACCATGATACCACACAATAAGAATTAGGAGATGGGCAAGACTGCCGTGTTACCTTGGGGTCAGTAACAATGTGTTCAAAGTACAAACCTGGTTAGATTGCATTGTTGATCACGCCATCCTTCTCCACACGTCTCCTCTCAGCTCCAACTTCATGATTCTGTCCTCTCCTGGTTTCATTCTTACGAATCCTAACATCTCTACTTTGTTTCCACGAACGGCTTTTCCTCCACCCCCCGTACTGTCTCGTGCGGTGTCCCTCAGGGCTCTGTCCTCGGTCCCCTCCTCTTCACCCTCTATATGCTCCCCCTGTGGTGACATCATCCGCAAACATGGGGTTAACTCCCACATGTATGCGGATGACACCCAACTCTACCTTTCCTCCTCTACCCTCAACTCCACGACCACCGATGTCCTGACAGCTGTCTGTCCGACATCGAGTCCTGGACGAGAGACAACTTTCTTCAGCTCAACGTGCGCAAAACCGAGGCCCTCCTGATTGGCTCACGCCAGCGCCTCCGAACCTCAGGCGCTGACACCATCAGCATCCAAGGCTGCACTCTCCACCTCTCAAAGCCGGTTAGGAACGTCGGGGTTCTGTTCGACCCTGAGCTGTCCTTTCTCCCTCACATCCGCACCACAACTGGCACCGCCTTCCATCACCTCCGGAATGTCACCAGTCTACGGCACTACCTCACCCACCTCAAGGCTGGACTATGGGAACTCTCTCCTCGCCGGCCTTCCCGGCCCTCCCTCCACACTGCAGGTCATTCAGAACTCTACAGCTCGTGTACTGTCCCGCACCAGACACTGCGCCCACATCACTCCCACCCTCACCCTCGTCCACACCCTTGCCCTCACCCTCACCCCCTCCCTCGCCCGCGCTCGCCTCCACTGGCTCCCCATCCCCCAGAGGATCAATTTCAAGATCCTCATCCTCACCTACAAGGCCATTCACGGTCTCGCTCCCTCCTACCTCTCCGACCTACTGTCCCCCTACCTACCTGCCCATACCCTCCGTTCCTCTGGCTCCGGTCTGCTCCACATCCCCCGCCCCAACCGCCCTACCATCGGTGGCCTTCAGCCTCTCAGCCCCGAGGCTCTGGAACTCCATCCCCAGTGCCTTCGCCGCTTCCTCCCTTTCCTCCTTCAAGGCCGGTCTCAAGACCTTTCTCTTTGACCGTACCTTCAGCTCCCCTCTCGACTCTCTACCCCCTCCTCGCTCCCTCCCTCCTTCCCTCCCCTCACCCTGACCATTTCCCCCCTGCTCGGGTCCTGACCCAACTGTGCAGCGCCTTGGGACGTCCTCCCGACGTGAAAGGCGCTCTATAAATGGAATCTTGTTGTTGTTGTTGCTATCATCCTGTAATGGAGTCCTGTCGCTTGATTCCCGGGCAAGTTTCCTTACTCCTCACACCTCTGTTTACGTAGCAGTAAGTAGGAACCCGGTTGTTAGTCGATTGGTGGATCGCTTTTCCAGGGGTAATAATCCCTTATAAATGAATGAATGGATCATAAGTAAATAAAAATAATAATTTAGTCAATCCATGACTACTGTATGCAATTGGCTGCCGCATTTGATCCACAAAATATACAGTCAATTCCCTTTACAGCATAAACAAAATGCAAAATGCTGCAGATGCTGGAAATCTGAACACAAAAACGGAAGTCGCTGGGAACATTCAGCGGGTCAGGCAGCATTTATGGAGAAGATACCGTGGACTCGAAATGTTGACTCACTTTCCTTTCTCTATAGATGCTGCCAGACCTGCTGAGTGTTCTCAGCGACTTCTGTTTTTGTTTTCCCTTTACAATATATTCTGTGAAGCGCTTTGAGATGAAGCGCTTTGAGACGTCTCATAGATATGATGAGGCACTATATCAAATCCATTATTATTATGCAACATATACCCATTTTCCTTATTCTTCCTCCTAAAATGTAGAATCTGACATTGGTCTGCATTAAATTGAATTTGCCATTTCTCTGTTAACAAATCTGTCTATGTCGTCCCTTCCCAAAGTTCCTTACAAATCTTCTTCCTTGTTAGCTACAACAATAACATCTCACATTTATATAGCGCTCCTCAAGCAGAGCAGGATCTGGGTTTGTAGAGGCTGGCTTCAAGTGCCATGAGCTTCAGCTTTGTTGGAAAGATCGATTGAGGAGCCAGGCCAGTTTGGCTCAGTGGTAAAACTCTCACCTGTGTCAGAAAGTTGTGGGATCAATTGCTTCAAATGTATTTGAGGCAGCATCAACCTCCATGGTTGTACACTTCAACTCACCAGCCAGTCAGGAACCTCGGTGTCTTGTTCGCCCCTCAAACTGTCTTTTCTTCTCCACATTCAAGCCATGACCCGCTCTGCCTTCTCTCACCTCCGTAATGTCGCCCGACTCTGCCACTACCTCACCCCTCAGGCGCTGAAACTCTTATTCATGGCTTCATCACCTCCAGGCTCGACTATGCAAACTCCCTGCGTGTCGGCCTTCCCAACTCCTCCCTCCACAGCTGCAGATAATCCAGAACTCTGCAGCCCGTGTCCTCTCCCGCACCAAAGTCCGTGATCCCATCTCCCCCACTCTCGCCCGACTCCATTGGTTCCCTATCCTTCAGAGGATCCAGTTCAAGATCCTGGTCTTCACCTACAAAGTCCTCCATGGCCTCGCCCCACCCTACCTCTGCGACCTCCTAACCCTCTACCAACCCGCCCACTCCCTCCGCTCAGCCGGCTCTGGCTGCTCCACATCCCCCGACCCACCCGCCCCACCATTGGCGGGAGAGCCTTCAGCCACTCTGCCCCCAACCTGTGGAATTTCATCCCCCAGTCACTCTGCCTCGACCCCTCCTTAGCCTCCTTCAAGTCCCGCCTCTTCGACCATGCCATCGGCCACCCCCAATCCCCTCCCTTCCCTTCTTCCTCCCTGACCCCAGCTCGGGTCTGAAATGCTGTACACTCTCCAGCGCCTTGGGATGTCCTCCCGATGTGAAAGGCACTATACAAGTGTAATCTTGTTGTTGTTGAGGTAGGAATAGACATTTTCACATGTAAAACATATAACACAATGCAAATTTACATTTAAACAGTGCTTTTTACTTCAGGTGGACATCCCAAGGCGCTCAACAATCCTGGCTGGGCACCCAAGCTGGGGGTGGGAGCCAAGGGGAGGTTGAGGGGTAGGTATTGAGATGGACCTTGAACGAGATGAGGGAAGGAGCGAGTCAGAAGGATTCTTAAGGTGGAGTTCCGGAGAACCTTACAGCATGCAAACAGGCAAGTGTGCTACACCCCTCTATACCCTTCTCCCCCATGTCTCAACCGATGCCCTGCCCTCTCCGACAATGCAACACCCCCCCCCAGTGTGGCATCCTATAGAGTAGTGGTTAGAGCACTCGCCTCTCAAGTGAGAGGACCTGGGTTCGATTACCAACCGGGCAGGGCGAAACATTAATAATAAAAATAATAATCCTTGCATTTGACATAGTGCTTTTCACGTCTTCTCGACGTCTTGAAGCGCTTCACAAAATATACTGTAAAGTGAATTGACCGTATATTTGTGGGCGAAAGTTTCCTTACTCCAAACGCCTCTGTTTCTGTTTACCTAGCAGTAAATAGGAACCTGGTTGTTAGTCGATTTGCAGATCGCTTTTCCAGAGATAATAATCCCTTCCAAAAAAAATAATTTGAATACTCAATCCACGGCTGTTTGTGGGACGTCAGGAGGACGTCCCAAAGTGCTTCACAGAACACACTGTAAAGTGAATTGACTGTATATTTGTGGGCGAACGCAGCAGCCAATTGCGCACAGCAATGTCCCACAAACAGTCGTAGATTGAAAATGACCAATTTATTATTGTTTTTGGTTTTGGAGGGATTATTATTAGGCTCTGTGTGGAGTAAGGAAACTTGCCCAAGGTTTCGCCCTCTGCCTGGAATTGAACTCAGGTCTCTCACTTGCAAAGCGAGTGCTCTAACCACTGAGCTACAGGACTCCACGATCTCAGTTAAACTGAGAGCCTGTCTGCCTGATCAGGTGGACAATAAGGATCCCACGGCACTATTTTAAAAAGAGAAGGCAGTTTCTCTCCCGGTGTCTTGGCTGACAATTACTTTGCAGCTCTTTCTGGGACATTGCTGTGTGCAAATGAACCGTCTAAAAATAGGCAGTGACCGCACATCACAGAAAACTTTACAAAGCTCTTTGAGGTATTTTAACGTTTTAGGCTATAATAT